ATTTTAAAATTCGGGTCGCTACAATTTAAAATCTTGTAAATGAAATCGTCTGCATCAACTCGTGAACTCCCTTCACTTTTTGATCATTGCACCCACCTGCCATACCCGATTCAACTCTGTTGCATCACTTAAAAATGCAAGTTCTACGAATAATCTCATCACCCATAGAAATTTCCCTCGAACGTCTTAAAATAGCTTAGACTCTCGACTATGGAACAAAACGACTAGATATTGTAGGCTTTCTTATATTTGTTTTTCATCTGAGAAACAACATAGATAAATAACCATACAAGCACCCTAAAGCATCATCTGGATTTCTTCAATAGTGGATCAAATGTGATAACAAAGGAAGAAGTGGTGGAATATGATGGGGAAGCGAAACAATATGGTTTCTTAGTTTTAGAGATGGCAATGGGACGGGGCAGGATTGGGGCAACCTCCCCGCCACATCACGCCAAGCCAAACAATTTCCCCCTCGTTCCAGCCCTGTTATCCTTTTAAGGCGAGGTGGGGTCTTGCCCCGTTTACTACCCCATTTATGTATTTTTATATATAATTCATTTTATTGCTCCCATTTATTAGAGTGATATAATAATATATTTTTTAATCTTTATCTATTTTTAAAATTTAAATTATTCTAATATATTTGGTAAGTTAAAGGTATCGAATTTGTCGAAGAGCATGAAAATGGGGATATGGTGTATGCGATTGTTGTGTTATTGCAATAGAGGTAATTGGGGAGGAATAGGATACTATAGTTATTTTTAAAAGAATAAAATTACTAAAATTAGGTAAACTTCTAAAATAACCCCTCAAATTCTTCCTCCCACCTCCATTTTCGATTAAACTCCCCACGCTTCTCAAAATGACAAAATCCATCCTTAACCCTATCCTACGCCACCACCAAAGCTGAAATCCGAAACCCGCAACTTGTTACCATCACCATTGTTCTCTCTAGAAAGAGCATTACAGTTGGCCGAAACTTTGTCCAACGAGCTCTCCTCTTAATAGTCGCTTCACCGCCCAACCTGAATGTGCATAAGAGCTCGGGATAATCCAACTCTCACGGGTTTTCCTCAATCTCTATTCCCTTAAATCTTTTCTTTTTAGTTTCTCTGTTGATTCCTTCATATTTCATCATTTCTTTCTGCTCTGCTCTGTTTCCATTTTGTGTTTAATGATCCATTAATTTGCATAAAAGCACAATCTTCAGTTTACTGATAGCTGTATGATTGATACAACGGCAATCCTTTTACATTTTTCCCAAAAATTCTTCAATATTATTTGTGTGTGTTTTGAAATTTGTAAAGAAATGAAATCTAAAATCATTCTATGAGGCAACTCCGTTACTGATATTTTTTTTCCTGGAGTAAATACTTCCGTGACTTGTCACTTGCGCAATTGATTTACCGTTGTCAATTTCCAAAAGATTAGGACACGCGCACATCAAACTGTACCCTTTTTATTTGTCCTTTTTATGGTAACGCTTGTTATTTATCTGTGATACAGAAGTCTCTTGGGAGAGTATCGAAGAAATATTGACAAGAAGTGGTGGTCTGGTGAGATTTGCATGACTTCTTGAAAGAAAGCAGATTCATAACCAATAGTTTTTTCAGTCGTCAAGCTGAACTTGCAAATGTACCCCCTAAAAGATAGTTACAGAATGTTGACTGGTGCATATCTTAAAGGTCCACTTATTGTTCTTCATTTTAGGAGAAGATTTTCTTTATGGTCAATGAAGAAAGAGCCAGATCTTGAATTAGCTTTGTCTCGAAATCGTAGATGGATAGTGAATAATCAGATCAAGAACATAATTATCAGATACCCTGATGATGCCGTGCCAATAGATTTCCTTCAGAAAAAATTTAAGTCTTTAGATCTTCAAGGCAAAGCTCTTAACTGGCTCAAAAAGTACCCCTGTTGCTTTGAAGTGTATTGTGAGAATGACAAGTATTTCTGTCGATTAACAAAACAAATGCTGTTTTTAGTAGAGGAGGAAGAATCTGTTAAGGATATGCAGGAACCAATTTTCGTCAGGCGATTAGCAAAGCTGTTGATGATGAGCATGAATCAGAGGCTTAATGTCTCGAAACTTAATGAATTGAAGAGAAACTTTGGGTTTCCGGATGATTATTTGCTTAGGATTGCAACCAAGTATCCTGATATGTTTCGAGTTGTCAGTTATTCTGGGAGGCGAAGTTCAATGGAGATCGAGCTTTCATCCTGGGACCCTGATTTAGCAGTTTCCGCAATCGAAGAATTAGCTAAAAATGAGGGTCGTGAACCATGTTTTTCTTGTTCATTGCCATCTACTTGGGTAAAATCATGGGAAAAGTTTCAAGAGTTTAATTTCACTCCGTATATTTCGCCTTATGGGGAGCCGAGTGGCTTGGTGGAGGAATCAATGGAAATGGATAAAAGAACGGTTGGTTTAGTGCACGAATTACTATCACTAACATTGTGGAAGAAAGCCTCAATTCTAAAATTAGGTCATTTTAGAAGAGAATTTTTGTTACCACAGAATTTGAATGTTTTGCTGCTCAAGCATCCTGGCATATTCTATGTTTCAAATAAATATCAAATTTATACGGTTCTTCTCAGGGAAGGATACAATGGTTCAGAATTGATTGACAAGGACCCACTAGTTGTTGTGAAGGACAAGTTTGGGGAATTGATGCAGGAGGGGCTTCATGAATATAATAGGAGGCACTATTTATTAAATTTGGAAAAGAAAAGGAAGAAAGGTTTGGCACCAGTTAGGCCAGAGGGAAGAAAGAGAGCAAGTAATGAAGTTTCAGAACAAGATGATCAAGGGAATAATCTAGGTGGAATATTTGACCCAGAAGAAAGAAAAAGATTTTATAAAGCTCTCTTCGATGAAAGTACTCCATAAACCTCAAACATTGTTTGAGAATAATCATCACTGCTGTCTATTTTCTTTATTCCTGAACTTCCAAGATCTGGATTCAGTATTTGTTCAGGTAGTCTATCCTTCCAACCTTCAAATTCAGTGTTTCCTTTGACTTGTTGGCTACAAAAATACTTCTTGATGATATTTCATTATGCTTGTCAACTACATGTTTAGTTTATTGTTTTTCATTCTGGACACATTTGGTATGCTGTGTTGAACAAGACTCAATAGTATAATGAACAAAAATTTAATTTTTCGTCTTAACAGTATTGAGTAGTGGGCATTCAATCTTACCAAACGTGCCGTTATTGTTGGATTCTTTTAGTTGGTTTTATCTGACGATAGGATGGATTCTAACCAAGGTTGCTATGAATCTGAGAAAAAAGCTTCTGCTACCCTACTCTTTTTTTTATTCATCCCTAATTGATCTTCTTGTCAATGCTTTCCCTTGACATTCTTTCTTAGCATCAGTATAGCATCTTCTTGACAATGTATGAATACTCTGATATCTTTTGTTTCATGTCCATTTACCGGATATGAAAATGATTTCAGAGTAAATGATATTTCCAGGGCTTTTTAAAATTCATGCTGTTCTCTTTTCCTATGTCTTCAATCAATTATTAGTTTTAAGGTTGTGGCTTGTATTCCATTCATGGCTTATCTTAACTGTTTAGCTACTCGTGACGATCCCATTTATTTATGCCCTTAGGATCTTTTATCATTATAGTTCAATCTCAAAGAACTAAATGTCTTGACCTATAATGACTCTTGTGAAGTACGAATTTATATAATTCAGTCAGCATGACCAAACATTTGGAATTTCTAACCTTGGGTTGGAATTACGCAACTCTGGGTCACTTATTCTTCAAATCCAGCTTGAACAAGCTTCTATTTAAATGAATTCTAGCAAGCTCAAGTAGTTTCATTAGTTTGCATTATATTTGATACATATTTGGTTAAAGAGCCAAGTTGAAGGAATTGATTAGAGCAGAACATGGTCAATTCAAGCTTGGTCACCTAAACTTATTAACAGTTCTTGATTGACCATGCAACTATTCAAAGTGAGTTAATTTATAGCCCTAATTTTGCTGCATATTTTGCATTATCGAGTTTAGAGAATCTACTGATTGTATTTAACAATTAGTTGGAGTTGATGTACAAGACTGATTGGTTAGGCTACTGCCTCGTGGGCTAATATGAATATACAATTATACACTTGTAGACTGTAGCTTTATTGATGCTTCTGTTATAAAGTGCCAGTTTGGGCCTATAATCTCAAACACTGTTGGTCTGGAGTATTGGCCCTTGTTTAGAAATAACTGATGTTTCATGAGACTTTTGTAAATTGAAAATTGACCGTTTTCTTTTCATTGGTTTTAAAAGTTAAACAGCCTTCTTGAGGGGTCTTGCATAAATCCATGAAGAATTGCTTGAAACTCTTCACTTACTATAGTGGGGTGGGGCCTGGGGGGGGGGGTTCTATTCATGATTATTTTCCTGTTTCTCATTTATGTTGTATTGCTGTATAAACGGGCTGAATGTCTAAATTTAAGAAGTAATCTGAATGCTTGTTGGATTTCTGTTGCATTTGTACCCGGTAGTTCTTCTGTTTTTTGTTCTGTCGTAACTTGAAACTATTTCTGTTAGAATTTTAGATTTGCAAGGACATATTAAGGTGGTATTCTGGATCAGTAGCCTGAAGGCTTAATATCACATGGGCAAGTTGGGATTTGATGTATGGAGTGATGCTGGTCTCTATATAGATGTAAGTCTTGCAATTTGGTATTTACATACAGCTAAATTTTACAGGTTTATCGTCTTTTTACACCTACTACTACTATCCTAATTTGCAACTAGAAGCATACAAGGGATCCAATTAACTTAGTAAATAATTAATCAACAAAGTAGTATCCACATAAAAATCATCAATTCACTACCAGAACTAAAGCTTTAAATCAAATGAATCAACTGACAAATTTTGCTTGCTTTGACTTCATAAGAAAAGAAAACCCACAGGAAAGAAAATGGAAACACAAAGATGGCAGCAAGAAAAATGTAAAGAAAGAGAACCTCTCACCGGTTGTCTATGTTGAAAACCTGCAACTTCACTTGGGAGAGGGATCATACTCCCAGTTGTTGAAGTACAGGGTTAGGGTACGAACAGACTCTTCAGTTTCTCTCTGCTCTTCTCCGATTCTTTTCTTCAGTTTTTCACAGTTGGTCTGTTCTATGTAGCTTTAGAAAAACATTTTAAAATTTTGTGGGCTATGAGAAACAAGCCCGAAAAGCTGAGGCTCTTAACAAAATAGTCCAAAAGCCCAAAAGAAAGAAGGCTGTGGAGAACGCATGTCAGCAGCCGTGAGGCTTACGCCTTGAGGTGTGCTGCTAGTAAGTCAAAGCGGAAGCCTCAAGTATGTGACAAAGGACACACCAAAGCATATTTTCTGAAGCCCCTAATGCATGTCTCATACGGTGTGCCTGAAGGTGTAACGGTGTAAGCCTCCTGCACTTTTAAGAGCACTCGTCACGGCCTCTGAGTACTGCCAATTTCTGTTATGACCTCATTTTACATCCTCTTGAACTGGAGAATTCTTCATTTAGAGAAGTTGATTCCTTAATGGTCTTCAGCGGCTCTTTGTTTCAATGAATTCTTCTAGTCAGTGAATACAAAGTAATAGGTTACATTGTACTCCTAGTTTTAATTTGGCTCGGGTACAACTGAAACATAACGTAGCTCATTGTCTTCAATCTCTGTAGTAGCTGATATTTATGAATTGGTATACGTTTAATCACGGCACAAAGACGAAAAATAACTTACTATTCTCTAAACTTTTATCATCATATCTTGTCATTTTAGGTGCAAAAGCATTCTATTAACATTCTTGTGGTAGTTGCGAAAAGAAAAGATATTCATATTGTGATGTATAAACGTGCTTTTGACTAGTGGATTCTTGTTGAAATGGTTGCAGGAAGATGAACGTTTGAGATATAGTCCATGTAACGATTCTGCCGGGTGACACTCTTTTTGTTAGAGCTCACCTTGACAATTCAGTGGATCCTTCGAGATGGCATGTAGATCTAGATCAAGCAAATAGGCACTCAGATATGCCTTATTACCTGTTGTTGTGGTCACAATTGGTCAACCACCAACCTTCTTGAAGCCAAAGTATGCCTGCAGAAACTGAAGCTAATGTAATTAAATGACAAAATGCAGAAGCTTCAACAGGTCGTTCATCTTGCAGACAAGTCATATCTTGTCTAGGCAAAATTTTGGATAACTATATTTCTGTCTTCCAGCTACTTTGTCGCCT